GAAAACATTGCCAAATTCAAGATTATTCAGATTCACCCCTATGTTTCTTCTAAGAGTTTTATAGTGTTAGCGCTTAAATTTAGGTCTTTAATCTTTTTTGAGTTGATTTTTGTATATGGTATAAGGTGAGGGATCAACTTCGTTCTTTTGCATGTGGCTATTCAGTTTTCCCAGCACCATTTATCATGACTGTTCTTTCCTCATTGAATGGCTTTGGCACTCTTGTGGAAGGAAATTCAATTGATCATAGACATGACGGTTGGCTTCTGGGCTCTCAATTCTATTCCGTTGGTTGATATAGAATGTTTTGATCATTGTAGCCTTGCAGTAAGTTTTGAAATAAGGAAGTGTGAGTCCTCCAACTTTGTTCTCATTTTTCAAGATTGTTTTGGCTATTTTTGGTCCTTTGAGATTCCATCAGAATTTTAAGATGGGTTCTTCCATTTCTGTAAAAAACATCATTAGGATTTTGATAGAAATTGCATTGAATCAGTGCATTGCTTTGGTCAGTACTGTCATCATAATAATATTAATTCTTCCAATCCATGAGCATAGGATGTCTTTCCATTTGTTTTGGTCTTAATCTTTCTTCTTTTTTAGTTTCATAATTTAAGATGATTTCATTCTAAGTATCATTTTAGCTGCATCCCACAATTTTTATATTTTTAAGTTTATTTTTAAGTTTTCATTTTGATATTGTCATCAACCCATGAATTATTTGCTTTGTTTTATTTTCAAATAAATGCTTTGAAATACGATATAATTGATATTTAACTTAATTGCATTGTCATCAGAGAATATGGGTTAAATGATACCAACTCAGAGAGGTGTTGAAGCTTGCTTTATGAACTTGCAAATATAATGTTGTACAGTCATGCATTCCTTAATGATGGGATACATTCTGAGAAATGCATTGTTAGGTGATTTTTGTCATGTGAACATCATAGAACATCATAGAATGTACTTATACAAACCTAAATGGTATAGCCTGCTACACACCTAGCCCATTGCTCTGACCACTGTTGTATATGTGATCCTTCATTATGCAGCACATGACTGTATATATTCTTGAGAAGAATGTGTTATCTGTGATGGTTGGATGCAAGACTCTATGTACATACATTAGATCGAGCTTTAAATTTTTTGTCTTCACTGTTTTTTTTTTGACTCTCTGATTTATGCTAAAATCAGTAATAAATCAGATTTTATTAAAATCTTCCATCTAGATTAGTGTATTTGTTACTATCTCTTTGTATGTCTATAAATTTTTCTTTTCACGTGCTGGCAGTACAAATATCCAAACTCTTGACCTTGCTGTTATCAGCATCACGCTCTAACCAGGTAATGTAACCAGCCAGCACATCTTCTCACTTTTTTAAGCTATATTATTAGGTGCATACAAGTTTAGAATTGTATGTCTCTATCTGGTGTGTGTGCATGTGTGCATGTGTGTGCATGTGAATTGAACTTTTTATCTTTATGCACCATGATATCTCTAATCTTTTTTTTTTGTTGGTTGCTGGCCAGTGCAGTAACATATAAATAATCTTAATATCTCTTTAATTATCTTTTTTGCCTTCAGGTCTACTGTCTGATATTAATATAGATTTCTTTTGGTTAATATCTGTCCGGTATATTTTTCTTTATACTTCTTTAACCAATATATTTGTCCTCTTTTCAATTAAAGAATTCAGTATTTCACATAAATCCTTTTTGTTAACCTCCACTAATTAGGCTTCATTATTATTATTACTATTTTACACAATACATTTAAACATAACAACTACATATTTATTATCTTCTTTGTCCAACATTCTATTTTACTTCTTAATATTCATTTTGTGATCATTTCCCTTTTATCTGAAGTACAACCTTTTAGAATTTTTTTTAATTACAGTCTGTGATGATAAATTATGCCAGTTTTTGTTTGTTCGAAAATGTTTTCAAGCCCTATTGTTGATAGTTTTGCTGAGTATAGTTCTAAACTGTTAGTTGTTTTCACTCAGACCATGATTATTTTATCGTGTTTGGCTTCTATTATTATTTTAGAAGTTAGCTTGTAGCCCGATTTTTGTTCCTTTTTAAGTAATCTATTTTTTTTTGTCTGTGTACTTTTAATGTCAGCTATCCGTCTTTTGTATTCATGCTGAAATGCTAAATGAGATTTTATTCTTATTTTTCTTATTCGGGGTCCACTGTATGTACTTCCTGAAACTGAGGATTTGTATGTTTCACCAAATCTGGAAAATCCTCAGCCATTATCTTTTTTAACATTGCCTCTCTCCCATTCTCTCTGTCATCTTCTTATGGAAATCTCATGAGAAGTATGTTAGACCTCACTCTTTCTTCCATATCTTCATGTCTCTTCTCTTCCATATTTCCCATTTCTTAACCATTTTATGCTGTAGTACAGGATTTTGTTCAGAGCTATCTCTGGTTTACTAATTCTCTTTTGAACTATGTCTAATCTATTGTTTAACCAGCTCAAAGGGTTTTTAATTGCAATGATTATATTTTTCATTTGTATAAGTTCTGTTTGGTTCCTTTTCAGATCTATCTCAAGAAAATAGTTTCAGGTACTTTGCTCATATTTCCAATTCCCTTTCTATTTCTTAAACATTAAATGTGCTTACTTTATGTATGTAAACATATATTTTTATATGTAACTATTCATATTTATATTCTGTATCTGAACATACCAGTATATAAAGTCTCTGTAAATCTGATTCTGGATTTTGTTATTTTTACTGGTGAGCTCATGTCTACTGTGAATTTATGTATAGAAATTCTGTGAGAAGTAGGCTAAGGGTGTAGTTGTCTAGGCTCAATGTAGTCCTACAGGAATGATTTGTAACACTTTGTCCAGACACCTAGGGTGTCTACCAATCTGGGACTGCTTTCTAATTTCTCAGTTTAAGTTTTTATTTTTTTTTTGTTGTTGTTCAAATGCTTTTTTTCTGGAAAGTATCATGAACTAAGTATTGCTGAGTAAATGCTAGTAGTAAAATGCTACAGTGATAGTAATTAGTCCTTGAGAGAGAAAGATGCAGTAGCAGTGTTTGGAAACCCTATTATATATTTGAATAATCCTTTTTGGAAATGAAATGTCTACCCTACCTGGAAAAAAGGCTAGGAAAAAAACCACATAGACACCTAGACATCTAGAATATCACTAGCCTCATTCTTAAATAACATATACTCATTAGATTACTATACATAACACATTTTACCTTTGAGTTGAGAGAAAGAGAGAGAGATTGAGAGATTCCCTAAGTAATGATTATAATTATGGCATGGAATGTGGTGGGGAAAAAAAAAAGAATGATAATTTTCTCCTATAAGATATGGAGTCAAAATTACTATATGGAACAAATATCAATATGTGAGGATGTAGAAATCATGAAAATAGGTGGTTTCTCATTTATTTATTAGAAACTAAGTGCCAGGTGACAAGGACCAAGTCTGTTTTATTCTCCATTGCATCCTCAGTGCCTAGCATGATTCATAATAGACAGTATTTGTTGAATGGGTACCTACTGTGTGCCAGGCACGGTACTAGGAGCAAGAAGGACATGATCCCTCCCCTCAGTCTTATGGAGAAATCCTACCTCTTCAAAGTAAGAAAAGCTTGAATTTGCAATCACACTAATATCAAAGATAATAAAAATAACAAATTGGGGTTAGTTGTAATGATTACGTACATAGCTTTCTCCATGAACTGACTCATGGGACAAACATTACTACCCCCATTTCCTAGCTGGAATAATAATAATGCCCAGTTCTTGAGGGATTCTTAGTTACTGCCACTGTGTTAAGTTCTGTACATTCATTATCTCATTGAATCCTCCCAGAAACCCTACAGTTAGATACTATTATTTCCCCCATTTTCAAAATAGGTAACAAATGAAGTTCAAGTTTAAGTAACCTGCCCTGCAGTGCATAATTAAGTGGCAGAACCAAGATGCAGCTCAGGCAGTGGGATTCCAGGGCTCTCCACTGTGCACAGAAAAGGCAGCTGAATGCACACAGCAAGTAAAGAGGGAGGAACTAGTTCTGGCCAGGGGACCTTTGACAATATCCAGATATTTAATAGATTCCCAAAGGTGAAGTTAATTTATTCTCAGAGAGTTTGAAGGTAAGAAGATTCTAGCTAAATGACTACAAATATAATCCCACCACAACAGACACAATTTAATTACTGTAATAATTTTGGTACAGAAGAATGCTTTCCTGTTATTTCCTCTAGAATGCTTTAAACCAGGAACATTTAAATCAGGAACACTCAGAAATAGCAAGAGAACTTAGCAAAACCAAAGCACACCCTCATGCAATCCGTACTTCCGTGGGGACCTGCCTACCAGGGCTAGCTAGATAGTAACTTCACTGCTGGACCTGGATTGCAGCAAAAGAATCAAATAACACCAGAACTGGAAGGACCCTGGAAACCAGCTGGTGACTAGTGCACAGCCCTCGATTTAGAGGCCGTGAGACCAAGGGAAATCAAGACCTCCAGGAAAACATCTCAGGGCTAAAAAAAGATTTTCCCACTGTTCGAAATCCATCTATTCCTTTCCCTCCCTTTCCACTCTCTCTTGCTATCTTACTCTATCTCGCCTGCTGCCTTCCTTTCTTTCCTTCAGTAAATATTTTTTGAAAAGGTGATGTGTAAAAACGGGCCTGGTCCTGCCTACAGTAAATTTCAGGGGGAAGAAGATGAACGCGTCCTCCCAACAGATTAAAACATGATTACACCAAGGACCCGATCCAGCCCCCCCCCCCCCCCCCCC